ACATAATTGATGTGTGTTCAGTTACCTACCTTAGCCACAAACGTTCCATTTTCTTTCAAAACATATGTTGCGATATTTAATGCCTGAAAAGAAGTGATAATCAAAATTTTGAACAATCAAAATCAAAGTTAAATTTTCATATTTTAACCTTAGCAAGAGAGACTGAGGTGTTCGAAGCTAATCCCAATGATAACAGCATTCTTCAGCAGCACGCAACAAAAACTTTTCTAACTATCAGTAGCAGTTATAAATTAAAAAAAGGCCCAAAGTCCCAAAAAAATCCAGTAAAATCCCTACACAGATTTTATCCTCATAAGCTTCTGAATAGTGACCAGAAAATGGAAGGACGTCTTTCTCAAAATCCACGGTTTATCAGCCAGCCCAAACAACACTGAAGTTGAGAAATAAGGTAAAATTAAGGAGAAGGAAGGAAACATCTTGAATGAAGAAATCTATCGTTTTTCCATCTTCCCCGCATTTTTTTTACCACTTTTTCCTAGAAACCAACAAAAAAAACGATAAAATTAAGACGTAAAATATACTGCTAAGACAAGTTGGCTTTGCATATATTCATCGAGCGCATGCAGTCCTGTTACTGAAATTAAATTTTATCAAATGTTTCAGGAATTTTAAAGATGCAAACAATGAATATCCCTGGCTAGGAGGTTGGAAGAGGACGAAGGCCTGATTTCTTCTATGTGTTAACACATGCAGTTTGTTTGGCGCTGTTGGCCCATCGCGGAAAGGAACACAATCGAATTTTGACAATTATCAAAGTTTATCATTATGCAGCTGAAATGTTAGCCTGTTGATTTGGCTTGTGGTGCCAAGACGCCGTTGGATCCTACTATTTGGCAGCAAGCCCCCAAATGCTCCATTAAATGCTGTTAGATTTAACAGTGTCTTGAAAGGTGAAGGGAAAAAAAACCAAAATATCGCACCATCAGGCGCTCCATCGCAGACCACCAAATCAGCCTTTACACCTTCAAAATGTGAGATGATCTTTTCTGCTGTTGATGTCTAAAAATAGTATCACATTTAAAAATTGAATTTTCTGGGCAAATTATAATAAATGGCAACGCGCACCAGACTAGCCGGTGCGATCATGCGTTTTGTGCAATTCAG